TAAAGCAGGAGAAGGTGGGTGATGTGGAGCCGGCAGGGGGACCGTCCAGATTTTTTGTTAATAGCTGTCATCAGTGGCTTGTCAACCGCTTATGACAGCTATTATTTTACAGGGGACCATTCTGATACAAGTTCATGGACCATGAGCTTAAAACAGAAGGAAGAAAGCCACCAATGTAATTACTAAGCTGGCCAGCTGCAAGTGGTTGCATTCCACCGTAAGCCTTATGTTGGTGGCAGCGAAAGGGTTAAATGCTCAAACCTTTTTTCAATAATGAATCTAGATCAAACAAATATACATTGCCCAGCACAGTATTTCTTTATGTACATTTTTGCATTTTTATCCAAACACTTACAGTCATTATGTTTCTGAAAAAATGGTTCCAACCCTCTTAGTTCCACTTTCTGTCCAGTACAAGATCACAAGGGACAGAGCAATCTCCAGCAGCCATCTGTCTACTAGCATGGAGCAGGGAGAAGAGAGAATGGGGAAGTAGTGAGAAGGGGACTGACCTGCTTTGGTGGGCCTTGTGGAAACGCACACAGCTTACTAGCACACACAGGTTGCTCCATAGGACCCTGCAAGGGAAAGCAGCCACCCTAAAACAGGATATCAGGACCAGTGCTCAGGGGACTAACTTATTTTGCAGAAAGATTAAAATTTTAAACACGAAGGAACAGTATCCATTGTAAGTGATTTCACCAGCATTTGAAATAGCTTAAAAACCTTTTGACTTTAATATCACTTTAATTTCTTTATACATACTTTATGAATCATTGACCTGAAACAAGCATGGAGATAGTAACGTGTCTAGACATCCAACATTCATATACTTGAGGCTGTAATTCCCTAAGAATGGATGGCAGGGGAAAGCATTGTAGCTGGAACAGGGCAGTTTGCATTTCTATTGTGACAGGTTATCTTTAAATAGTTGTAAACATTTTTTATGAAGGTAATGCAAACCTACTTGCTCCTTATAACTCTCAAGGAATGTAAATATGATCCCTGAAAACAACTGGACTGACCCATAGGAGTTTATTTACTAAATGAGCCAGAGTCTTCCCTAATCTTAGTAACTAATGTAAACCTGTCTTCAATTAAATATTTGATAATCATTTTGAAAAAATCAATTTTACCCTGACATTATTGAATGATTAAAGTTAGAACAGATTCACTTTATTCACTAAGCTAAGCAAGCACTCTCTACTCCTTTAGTAAATCAACACCAATAAAATGCATGTTGAGAAGGGAGCTGCAAAGCCACTATGTAACACTACTAATTAAAAAGCAGAGCTAAAAGTTGAAATTCAAGGCAGATATAAAAGAGTAATGAAATTAGGTAGTCATTAATAAGGAATTAAATGTATATCAATAAATGCAACTGGTGTACTGTATGAATTTGAGTTGGGATCAACTTCTTGCAATCCCCTTTACAGTAGCACTTACACTGTGGGAGGGAGTGTCAAGATTGAGAGCATTTAGGTGTACTTTATGTAAATGTGTTGAAAATTAACATGTTGATAGGAGAAGAAAGCAGAGTAAGCAGAATGATGACCTCATTAGTCTGCTGCTGTTCTTTCACTCTGCAATCAGCAGGCTGAGGGAGGAGAGAGGTATTGTATTTCTTAACTGTATGTGTACCATCCACCTGCCTGTGTCATATGGGGGTTCTGTATACATTTCTGGACTGAAGAAGAGAAATCCTTTGGCATGTAAAACAGCTCCCTTATACTGTATGTATTTCATCTGCGTATTTAACTGTTAGCTCGGAGTTCAGCTTCAGTGTATAATTATCAAAGATAGCTGCACCATGTTATACTGATAACAGTCCTTGCCAAGATTATTTACATAAAACTGAGTACATTTGCATATAGTTTACAATGTAAAAAAATACCCAAACAAACTACAGTTTCCCTTTAATACATTGTAACTTTTACAAGAGGGCTTTTGCATTGTATTTGCTTCACATTCCTTTTATTACTCACTAAATCTGTCTTTATAAGAGCGTTAAAACCTACCATTTATGAAGGCAACAACATGCATTTTTATTTTGTTTTTTATCCTGCTGCCATAAAGTAAGCATGATTTATTTTGGCATTATGATCTTTCCCTGATTATACATAAAACAAAAAACATCAGTCTAATCTCAGGGTTGGTTTAGTTTTTTTAATGGAATGTGGCAGATGGAATGACAGATGTCACATCAATATAATTTGGCTCACACTCTCACTTCCATTGTTGAGCACAGCGTGAGCCTATCTTTAGATTAAGATTCTCACAGGTATACACTCTATACAGTAGATATAAATGTTTTTTTTTTTAATAATAATCATAAAATGTTTACCTTGGGTCACAATTTGCAGTGCTGTGTGTGCAAACACAAATGAAACAACCACAAACACACTTGCTTTTCATTTGAAAAGAAAAAAGCTAAATTATTTATTTCACTCTTGCATAATCCGTCCTTATCTAATAGTCCATTAGGCTTTTCCATTTGTAATCCATTTTGTGTCTGTGTTTTTAACGGCAGTTGTTTCAGTGTGCATTGTTTGCTGTGTTTCCTAATATAATGTTTGTAAAAGCTTTTAAAGTATTATTTGTGTATTTAATGTTTTGGGTTGCCCATCCTGTCAGCCATGTTATTAGCAGTACATATTTCATTGTAGGATCTTATCTTTCTGTATGTATGATATACAATATCAGAAGGCAGTATTTTAAAATCTCCAATTTGTACAACTTTAAACACCAACATCTAATCTGAAGTTCCTTTGAAATTCCAAGAAATTATAATTATCAATAAAGTATTTTACAATGGACTTTTGCCTTAACTTGAATGCATAGTCAAAAAAATGTTTATGTGTTGGACACAGCAGAAAAAGTTAAAACCCCAAAATCAGTTTATTTATAACGGTGTGTACCTTTTTGGGGAAATTGGTTGCAATTTCCTTCTTAGACAGCTGTCAATGCACCAGGTGACCACACAGGGAGATTTCCCCTCAATTCTTGTTTTAATTCAAACTCTCAAATTGGATTTCCAATCACTTTCTGTTTTGGTATTCACCAGGGACACAGACAGGGGTTCTAATTCTTCTCTATTCTTATTTCCTACAGAAAAAAAGTTTGGCTATATATATATTTTTTTAATAGAGCTAGTTAGAACATCCTTTTTTTTTTAGATCATACAGGGTTAGAACATCTGCCACGATTTCATGGCATGATTATTGTGCCATTTGGGATATTCACTCACTTTTTATTCCTGATCACTAGGAATGGAAACCTGTTTTAATGACAACTGTTAAAGGTAGAATTTCTTCTTTCTTTGGGGGAAATGTCACCAGAACAAGTGAGGGTCCATCTTCTCAATAGAGACAAAAACAACAATATAAACCTGACAGAAGTTCTTACCCTACCCACACTAGCTTCAACTAGAAAGCATTCACATCACATATCATTGTTTCTTAATGCATTCAAAATAATGGGGCTTATACATCATTTAAAGGACAGTAGGCAGAGTCATGGAAATAATGCCCTCATTCCTATGCCGGAAACAGTCCATCCAGATCTGCTGGCTGCAAGTAAAGACATAACTTATTGGAGCCATTTATTCCAAACTTGCCTATAGTTTTAGGTGGAGTACAACACTGAAGGTCTTACATAGGGAATACACTATCATTTCTATCTCAATTCCACAAAAATTGGTTTATTTCTCCTGTATGGAAAAAGGGTGCTGCCATCCAAATCATGGCTTTCACAGTTTTAACATACAACACTTCACAGTGTTTTAGTGTAAAAATAATGAGATCTCAGATCCAGAATCAGCTCTACTCTGCCCTATTTCCCATATAAGCACTGATATTGTCCTAATTGTGACTCCAGGTATAATATACAGTATGTACTAGTATCAATGATGTTGATTTTCCTTAAATATAAAAGCAAAACATTCAATGGCAAGCATAGGCCAGTTCTCACCAAGTATGCTTGTAAAAATGGAATATGAATTGCAGCATAAGGCATTGCTTTTACACGATTCTTATAATTGTGGTTTACTTTCTATTCTGTACATTTTCAAAATTCTGTTTGCTGCAATCAGCAGATACAAACATGTAGCAGAGGTAGAAGAAACAGTTTATAGAAGCTTTATAGAAAGGGAGATAATGTTATTCTCAAACAGCTGGGGCTTGTCTTTCAGTAATATGGTTTGTAAGATAGCATGTATACTTCATAGTAATATATGGTATTAGATGTCTAAGGTGATTCATAACCAAACTAGCAGAAGTTTGCCTGTTTATTGAACAGGTTGGAATTTAAGTCCAAGTGATATGAATAACTTCTGTCTAATAATATAAAAGTACTGTAATGATCAGCGGTAAGAAGTACATAACATAGAGTACAGTGTCCATGGTGGAGCAGTGTGGAGTATGCAACATACTGCACAGAGCAAAAAACATTTCAGTCTGGAGAAGGCATTGTACAGCACAGAGTATAGAAAGGACATCCCAATACACTCAGCACACTGCAGTAAGCACCCCATTAGCACATACACCCATCTCATCTCAGAATTCTCTTTACTGGACGAGCAGGCGGACACTTGTCAGCCTGCTAACAGGTCTATATATCTTGGCCAGCAGTCTTCATTGTGCCCCAGGCTTTGCTCTGAGATAAAGCCCCTCCCTCTTCCTGTAGATCTCTTCCTGCCCTACCCAATGCTAGGAGGGGCACAAAGTAATGTCATGTGAGAGGGTATGGGAGGGGCTATATTTTACTCTAGCTTCCTGGTTTTTGTATTTAATATAACTATGGGGATATTTTTTGTTAAAAAATTAAAATTAACATCCAATAGTTGCTATGACCCGGTTTCAGTTTCTTTCACACCACCTCTTGCTAATTAGACACCCCATCTTTGACTTAAGTAACATGTTCGAGTAGTGTTCATAACTAACATTCAATCAAATGAACTGAGAATACATATAATCAAAAACTTTATTAAATATTTATTTCAGAGGCCACTATTTTGAGTTACGACGGAAGCATGTTTATGAAAATACAACTCCCTGTTGTTATGCATACGGAGGCAGAAGATGTGACTTTGCGTTTCCGCTCTCAGCGTGCATATGGCATTTTAATGGCGACCACTTCAAGAGAATCTGCGGATACTTTGCGTTTGGAACTTGATGCTGGACGTGTAAAACTTACGGTTAACTTAGGTAACACTCACCAAAACAAAATGAATCTGTTCTCACAAACTTACATCTTTCTTCTTGCTTGCTTCTAGTTTTATTTTTAATTTTTTTTCATGACTTACTCTAAAACCTGTTATTATTTTTTTATGCTTGCAAAAATACAGTTTTATGATATTAAGCAGTTTAAAAAGAGAAGCATATTTTTTGGAATTAATTGTTATCAATTTAGTATAAATAAAGTAGAGTTTGTTTAATATATTAGCATGAACATGTTACTATGTGAATATAGTGAATGGGACCTTTGGCACAAAGATCTGTTTTATTTTGTATCTTCTCTTTTTGAACAGTCTCTTGTACACTAAAATCACTTTGTTTTTTTATTACTTATTAATCTTTATTTTTGTGATTGCATTATTTATGTCTTCGATCAAAAGTGAAAATAAACCTTCAAAGACCAAGGTCTGCGGCCCTTAGCAAACAGTCTGGCGAACACACACTCCACACTAATTCTTCCACAGAAAAATGCTCTGATAGTTTACAATATTTTGTAGTGTGGTTCTAAAGCACAAAACTGTATTTAATTGCTTTTTAAAAAATAAAAATAATAATTGGGCAGACATGTTAAAAAATACATTTTAGACCTTATATTTCTTTTTGTTGTTAATTCATTCTTGCTGCTATTATTTTATTTTTATATCTATTCCTCAGTTGTTATTGTACAAGGCTAGGATGATTAAAGAAAAATAATCCCTTAAATACATTGACAAAAAAGCCTGGACATGACACAGCCATATCCAAATGGACTTTGTTGCGATTAGAGTACCTTAAATTACAATATATATTCCAACAAAAAGAAAAATCCATAATAAATATATTTCAGATACTGCTCTGCTTCCCTCTAGTGGCTCACATTCAGAATCCTTAGGATCCATCACTGCAGTTTTTTTTGTGGAAAGATGTGTGATTGTTTTGATCCTAGACTGTTTGCCACCACTTTTCTGATGCGGTTGACAACACGTGACAAACGCTGCTACAAGGAAACTAAATCTTTTTTTTTTTTAAACAAATGTGCTCCTCAAAACCATTAAAAAAATATATATAAATATATTCAGAACATAACTGAAAACACTGATAGAGTCATACATGTGAATGCTTCAAATATATATTTTTAAATGTAATCAGAAACTTTAATTTGTTAGTGGTTAACTTTTGAGGAAAAATATATTTGTATAAGATATAGAAAATATAGAAAAATATTTAAGTTCATTAACAAGCTTGTGCTTTGCAATGATTCAGCTCAAAATCTATAACTACTGTACTACATTTACATAAAAAAAATCAATAAATACTTTGTTTTTAGTAATTTGGTTAAAAGATAAGTACAGTACTGCAACTGACTTTCTTGATACTCCAGCTAACATTTGTCTCTATATTTTAAGCCTTTGAGGGAGAACATAATTGTCCAAGATGGCTGATCTTTTTTAGGCCTAGCTCAGTACCCCATTGTGACGGAACATCTGTTATTCAGTTTCTTACTAAATGTTCTTGCATATATGGGAAGATGTAGCTGCCTATCTAGGTCGCTTATCTTTGACTTAATCAAAATGTACTTAGATTTGTCTCCTTGTAGCGCTGTTTGAAATGGCCATTTTAACTTACTATTAACATGAATATACTGAGACAATTTTCTGTCTGTGAATAAGCTTTATAGGATAATATATTCATACACTGGCCAAATGTACATGTGTCTGTCCCCGGAAGGGTGGACTGTAATTTTATTGGATGTCTGCAGCTAATACCTTGAAGGATAAATATTCATTTCTCATCTATTCTTCCCTATCTAGACTGTATCAGGATTAACTGTAATTCCAGTAAGTGCCTATTCAACATTTTAAACATTTTTCTGCGTGTTATGTGATATACACATATTATCTATGCCTGATGTGCTTATATTTAGTCAGTCTGTTTTCATTACAATTATTATCATTATCTCTTCTTATGTGTTAAAATATTAAAATATAACTCTGCATCAATTAAACATGTGAAGGCAGACATTGTATATTATTGTTTGACTTTGTTTACTTAAGGAAGGAATCCAGGAAAACACTAAAAGCCTGTATCAGGCTGTTTTTTTATTTACAGCCTTTATTTGAATATAAATTCATCCACATTTTTTTTGTTTTCACTTTCTGGATAAAGCTGTATTAAGCTAAACACGGCAGAGGTTTAACTCTTCCTCAAATTAAAAAAAAAAAAAGTTTATGGTTTCATTTATCCCGTTTGGATCTACGGCCCTATTGACCAATGGCACACTTGCTCAATTGAACACAGAAAGTAGGAACTCTTCAAATGCCATGTTTTTAAAACCTAAGACCCTGAAAGGATGTTTATCATGTTTTGTGCAGGAACCATGTGGGAGGGGCAAAATCCACCCCTTCTGGCAGCAAATGTATGCCAGATTGGCCAATTTTAGGTTTTGAGCTGCCAACAGCTTTACACCAAAGATTGTGCTGCAGATATGGATGTTTGCATTGTGCAAACTTAAAGCTGCACTCTGGGATAAGCAAATATTGTCTAAATATTTAGACATGTTTTATTACTCAGTTGTGGCGGTGTGCTTTGTTATTTCTTCCAGATATGTGCAGTAATCGGGTGTGAAACTTTTCCTCTAAGTAGGAACTTCCTGTAATTTAGCTTTAAATGTTTTTTGCCTTTGGAGGATGGAAGGAAGGCACTGTACCAACAACACCAGTGCTGACCTATATTGGCAATTTACTCCCCCTTTGAGAAAGCTCAGCTAAGGAATATCTATGAGTTGGGATTGTCATGCAGAACAATTGTTGCCCATTAGGTTAGATTGGGGAAACATTTTCTAATGACTCTAGAAACCTGTATTTTGTTGAACACTTTCCTATAAGAAAGCCTAGCATGCTTTTCACATTGAATGTCATGGATGCATTCTGTATTGAAAGTTTAGATATTTGTAAAAATCCAAAAAATCTTTAAAAAATAAGAAAAAATATGCCACTGTGGTGATTAACTATAGGACATAGGCTTTTCTTTTTTTCTTAGGGGGAATTTACACTTTGCAAGCGAATTATGCCTTAGCTAAGTGAAGTAGGTAAAGCTCTGCTGACTTCCATCATCCAATCATGTGGAAGAGAAATACTGTTTTTGTTTCCTAACTTTTTATTGGGTATGCATTGCAAAGTTAATTGTCACCACATTTGCTATGCTACGGGACATTTCTCTTGCAAAGTGAACTGCCTATTTGCCTTTAGTAAATCAATCCTGCTGATTCATAAATTATTATTTTTTCAACAAATTAGAAAAGGAAATTGACCAAAAATCACTAGTTTTCAAAGTGCCAGCCCTTATCTGTAACCAGTGCTACAGATATCTGCTGGCTGTTAAGAGATGTATCACAGATGCATATTGATTTATATGGGCCTCTACAGATTTTGTGTACATGGGAACCGTTTAGTCAGCATTTTATGCTATTCTCCTTATGTATGGACTCAAACAATCACATGCAGAACTGCATGAGTGGGTTGACTTCAAGTCAGTTCAAACCTGCTTGTGAAACATAGATAAAGAAGCTTCTCTGAGGACCAGCTCAGTTGCTGCTTGACAGTCAAGTTTTAGCATACTGTATATTTCCAACTTTATAGTATCCATGGCAGCAGCTTTCATGCAACCAGTCCATTTTAAAAATAATGATCACAGGTGAAGCTGAGACATAAAATCACTTTGTGCTCTCCTGTGGATGTCAGTGAGCTGAAGGCTGTAAATTATTGAACCGTCAGTATTGGGAAGGGGCTTTCCAATTTCCTGGATAACTTCTTTAGCAGAGCATTTCACACAAAAATAATCTGGTACAATTTTATTCTGTGTAAAGTGTTAGAATTGATTTTTGTACACATAATAATGCACACGCTGTTATGAAATTTCTTAAAAGTTTATTGTTACAGAAAGGGGATGTGGACTGTGACTTTATTTTAATTCACTTTGGTTAAGAAAATGAATAATATAGGCTAGCTAAAGACAGTCAATTAGACTAAACCTCCTAAACATACTGGAAACAGATAACTAAGTAATGTTAATTTGAGGATAATCTATAAACCCCTCCTTGTGACCACAATGTTCCCTTTAAAGTCCAAATGTAAAATGACCCTTGAGAAAGTTAATTACGATGTCAAACAGGCATAATGTTACTGCTAAACTTGGTCTGGGCATTTGAGCTTTAGAAAGCTCACTGTTACGAAAGGGTTAAGCAAAATAAAAATGAAAAACAACATTAATCCTTAATGATTAAATGAAAGAACATGTTGAAAGATACATTTTAGAGGATATTAAAAAAAAATGATTTATATCTACATTTTCACCTCTACATTTTTTAAATATATTATGGTTTGACCAACCTAGTAGAATTACTAAACAGCAACAAAAAAACCTGCCAGGCAGATTTATTGGGTACTTTTTGTACTTCTGCCTGATTTTCCAAAATGACATTTATCATGGCTGGCTTCTGGTGTCAAGTAATTTTTTTTGAGGTTGTTGTCTGTACTTATTTTTCTTGAAGCAGTGTTAAATTGTGTTTACTTTTTTCATTGTTCTAATGGACTGGCTTAATCTATTTAGAACTTTACTATTTGGAGTAAAGATAAATTGGGGACATGAACTATCATATGAAAATCATTGTACTTCTATGTGCATATGTATCTCAAATTGACAGTTTAGATGTTTTATTTAGTTTGTAAACTACACTAACACTACTAGGCTATTGGTCAATGTATTCAGTGTTTGGTTGGAATTTAGCACCTTGTTCAGGTAATGTCCATATACAGTATATTGCCAGAATACTTCTATTTTTTCTGCAATGGTTATCCTTATTTGCTTGACCTTGACCATTTTGCTTGGGGTTAAAAAAAGTACCTTTTGTCCACATATGCAGCATATCATCCATATTGGTCCAAAAAGTCCAACTTGCTCATCAAATAGCCTTAAAGGAAGTGTTTTGTTCAGTGAAACTAGAAAACTGTCATCCTTAAATTTTCAAAGTTAAGAATCAGATTTCAATGTGGTTAAAGATTTTGATTTTGACCCAACTAGCACACGTCCTTCCTTCAATGTCCCCCATCTTTTCTTCCTTTCTTCTTCCCTCCTTTTTTTCGTTCCCACTTTCCCTTCTTTTTTACTTCCTCCCTTACATTTTAGGTGTAAAATAAATGTTCTCCTTTTGATAAACTATTTTGTTACTTTTGTTATCACAGAGGAGGGGTTAAAATTGTGCAGCATCATTCATATAAAATTGATCATAATTTATAAATGCATTTGTTATTAACACAATAATGCACAGCTAATCCCATTGGTTTTATTATCCTTACTGATCAACTTTTGCTGCATCCGTGCAGCTTCCCAAATGCCCATTACAGCACTTAAATGATTAATGGTGAGGCTTAGAAATGCTAATTGCAATCATTCTCCTTTAGGAACTTTAAAAAAGCTTCCTAAAACCTTCTCAGGCCAGCTTATTTTCCCGGGGAATGTTGGTTTTCTTTTTTTCTGCACTTTTTTAAACGTATACTTACTTAGTACTTTGTAAAAATTAAAATGCATTTTACATGTTCAAAATTTGAGTACAGTAGTACTTTAAGATCCTATAATTGCATATAATTGGTTCATTATCATTTCCTCTTGGCTGTGCCCAGTGCACATCACAGGTAAATACAGCCTTTTAATTGCAGCTCATAGCTAAGCATTGGACAATCAAGAGAAGCTCATTGTGATTCAGTTCAAGTATTTCTAATGAAGAGACAATTGTTTTCAACTAAAAGCTTCTACTTTTAGTTGAACAAAGAAAGAAAAGTTATGTTTACTCTTTTATCCATAGTAAGGTTTTTTAACCAGTTGACATCCGCGGTGTTAAACCCCCTTCCCATCCAGGCCATTTTTCAGTATTCAGCGCTGCGGTACTTTGACTGACATTTATTCCGTCATGCAGCGCTGTACTGAAATGAATTTTATACCCTTTTTTGGGGACACATAGAGCTTTCTTTTGGTGGTATTTATTCACCACTGGGGTTTTTATTTTTTTATATATTAAAGAAAAATTACAGATTTTTTTT